CAGTCACGTAATTAAATAAAACGATGCACTTGATCGGCTATTTTTATTATCCGTGAATTGCAAACGTTTGAAGACACCAGGGAAAAGTGTTCACCGAGGATAACGACAAGAGTTTATGGATTCAATGAACCTAAAAAGTCATTTGTGTTGTGCATAAGTCGACGGTTTTCTGTGATTAGAGGGATTCGGGTCACAATTTTATTATTTCACGAGTTGAGTAAAACAATAAAATCGGGGGTTTATGTCATTATTTATGAGAATGGAAATTGTATTTTATTTGTTGGTGTCTCTATGATGGATTAATTCACGACGCAGGTCACAAAAATGTGTCTTAATTGATCACTTCGTGAGAACAAAAATTTTGAGTGTTTGGAAAAAGACGTTCGATGGGATTCAATTTTTCACCATAAAAATCATTTCCAAATGTATTCATATTCAGAATTTTACCAGAAATTCATTTCATTCCTAAAAAAATCAGATTTCCGAAAGTTTAAACAATTTCAGTAATTTATTTATAAACAACGAAAGTTTAAAAAAAAGATAATTCTGTGCAAAATTAACTGGGATAAATCAAATCTTTTTTGAAAGTACGTATAGGTTCCAGAATTTTTCTCGATGCCATAAGAAAGTTATTTGAATAAATGATACGGGAAATTATGAGTTTCGGGAAAAATTCTATCGACTGAGGCTCACGTGTGGCAATAACGCCTTCACCGTGAGTGGCGCGCAATTCGAATGTCAATATAATCGCGGAGTATCATGGGAGAGATATAGGTTAGACCATGGAACTGAGAGAGAGAGAAAACACTCCGCAGGTTTACCAACTCGAAATAACCATAGGAATTATCCGTGCGGCATTGGCATATCTCTGATGGATTTTCATATTCTTTCAGTAATTAGAAAGACATCCAATAAAAATAATTCAACATTCACAAGTGATGGAAAAAAAATCAATCAGATGATAAAAACATTAATATTCAAAAAATGCTGAAATGCTCGTGTCATTAATGACTATTTGAATTGAACAATACATAAATTAATCGAGACGTGTATATTTTAAGAGCGAAGATTGAGAAACAATGTGACATGTCATTGTACAATTGCACAAAGTAGTTTATGTAACTTCAAACATAGACGGTGGCATTGTTGTTTGATTGCTTCCTGTCAAAAGAATAATGTCAAGCAATCCTCGCTTGTCCCTGTTGTAATTTTCAAATCAGTCTTGTGTTCACTGGTGCGCCTTTGGCGCTCATGTATCATGAGAAATGACAATGAATGTCGAATGGTTTTTTTTTTATTCAAGTGAGAATAAAACGGGAAAAATTTTCTCTCGAGATACAATTGAAATATTTAAAAGTGACAGGCGATGTATTTATGAGCGAGAATGGGCCGTCGGAACGGCTATTCGAGTCATAATGAGAGAAACGATGATTTGCTCTGACGTTATATGCAACACACAGTGGGTTTTAGTGTGTTCGAGTCACTTGATGTTGCACATGGTGGCTGCCGAACAGCTTTACTGCCACTATTATTCATCCACGGGCCACGAAATGTGCTAGGGACAAAGGGTAATTATCCGTGAATTTTGAGACAAAATTATTTTCAATTGACATACGGATAATTATCATTATTCACAGATGAGGAAGACTGCTTTGTCGGGCAGAGTGGAGAAATTGGTGTCATTCAATTTCAGAATTAATTATCATTCAGTAATTTTCCATTATTGAGTGGTTCGTTAAGGGTGGCTTAATGTAAGATGGTAATTATTATTTTTGCGGAGATTAGCGTCTTGAAAGCGTCTTAATTGGAGATATTGGACATGAAAAAAATTGTCTTACGATGAGACATTTTTCCTGATGGTCATTCAAATAATTGCTCATGGCAGTCGAGACAAAAGTGTCTCAATTACCTCATTAATTCATTTTTCTTAAATATGAGTGTCTCAATGTCTCGAAATCAAACATTTTTCCTGTCTGAATGTCAAAACCTAAAAAATGGCTTCATCGAAGTTCATTGTTTTTCGACTCAACACGAAGACAAAAGTTAGAGAAAAATTACCGAACACGTACAAAACTTTGAAATTTTTATCAACAACAAATTTACATGAAATTTAGCTCCATTTTGTCGCTGAAAAATCAGTTAACCTCTTGGAATATTCAATGAATTTCTAATTTCTCGGTCCATACGACAACGAAAATGATTGAAAATGATAAAAATACAGGCAATTATTTTCCGGAATTCTAAATTTATTGAAAATTCAATTGAATTTAATATTTAATTTTCGTAATGAAGTCTAAAATTCGAGCTGTCCTTGAAATATGAATGATAGCTCACCATGAAAAACTGAATTTTATTGAATTTTCAAGATGAATGGGAACTATGAATGGGAATAATGTGATCTTAAATCGAACTAAACCCCACAACATTGAGAATTCAATTGCAATTGTCACTGGAAATTAACGAATCGTAAAATCCTCCATGAACAGGTATTTTTTTCATTGAACTACATCTCGCGCCACGATTGCCATTCACCCAGTAAAATTCGCCACAATTTTCTGAGTAATTATTATCCGACGTTTCTCTCCGCGCAAAACTTGAAAATTACCTCTCGAGACCACGTTTCATCGATCCCAACTATGGGATCGATGAAACGGCGCGTATAGTTACGTCACACCCAAGATTTACAAAACATGTGGCGCGTAGTTATCAATCTCCCCGGCCACTTCGTACATCGTCCAACCTAACGTAGTCGATTTATACCATTGGGCCAGTCGTTGGAATTTTACGACTCGCTTCCCCAGATTGTATTCTAAATCCTGGAGCCACATACCACTCGACTCACTGCATGTGTGTTCAGTTCAGTCAGATGAGAAATGATGCAAATAAAAAATGAGAATCGAAGGAGTCTGGGCCAACGACAGAGACAAACATTTTTTTTTTTTTTTTTTTTTTTTTTTTTTTTTTTTTTTTTTTTTTTTTTTTTTTTTTTTTTTTTTTTTTTTTTTTTTTTTTTTTTTTTTTTTTTTTTTTTTTTTTTTTTTTTTTTTTTTTTTTTTTTTTTTTTTTTTTTTTTTTTTTTTTTTTTTTTTTTTTTTTTTTTTTTTTTTTTTTTTTTTTTTTTTTTTTTTTTTTTTTTTTTTTTTTTTTTTTTTTTTTTTTTTTTTTTTTTTTTTTTTTTTTTTTTTTTTTTTTTTTTTTTTTTTTTTTTTTTTTTTTTTTTTTTTTTTTTTTTTTTTTTTTTTTTTTTTTTTTTTTTTTTTTTTTTTTTTTTTTTTTTTTTTTTTTTTTTTTTTTTTTTTTTTTTTTTTTTTTTTTTTTTTTTTTTTTTTTTTTTTTTTTTTTTTTTTTTTTTTTTTTTTTTTTTTTTTTTTTTTTTTTTTTTTTTTTTTTTTTTTTTTTTTTTTTTTTTTTTTTTTTTTTTTTTTTTTTTTTTTTTTTTTTTTTTTTTTTTTTTTTTTTTTTTTTTTTTTTTTTTTTTTTTTTTTTTTTTTTTTTTTTTTTTTTTTTTTTTTTTTTTTTTTTTTTTTTTTTTTTTTTTTTTTTTTTTTTTTTTTTTTTTTTTTTTTTTTTTTTTTTTTTTTTTTTTTTTTTTTTTTTTTTTTTTTTTTTTTTTTTTTTTTTTTTTTTTTTTTTTTTTTTTTTTTTTTTTTTTTTTTTTTTTTTTTTTTTTTTTTTTTTTTTTTTTTTTTTTTTTTTTTTTTTTTTTTTTTTTTTTTTTTTTTTTTTTTTTTTTTTTTTTTTTTTTTTTTTTTTTTTTTTTTTTTTTTTTTTTTTTAATGAAGAAAGAGTAGGTCGCACGTATCAAACGCGCGGGGGTTACTGCAGCCTCTGTCTTCCCTCTCTCCATCACCCGGTCATTATTCTTTTTTACGATTCCTCCCGACTATTTTAAAACAACAGTCACTCTCCCCCTCTCAGGGACCTTAAAACAAACACTGAAACAGTGTCAGCCTCATAATCGTTTCATCCGAGAGACGAATCCGTCGCTTCGATAGTAAAAAAAATATACCGGCGTTTCTCATGAATGCCATCGTTTCATTGTGATTTTAATCGACCGGTGAATCATATCCGCTGGAGATTGTTTGACAAATAATGGGGTATCAAGGATTATGTGATATAAATAATTGAATAATACGGTATTAAAGAGAAAATAAAATTTCTGTTTATTTAAAAAATTATGAAATTGAAAAATTCAATGAAATGACTATTTTTTTGCAGTAGAAAGACACCAACTCCCTAACCTACTTGAATTTTCAAGCCAAATATGAATATTCAGTACTAAATTTCCCGAAATTTGCAATTCATCCAAAATTTAAAAATATATCCATCTGAATTTTCTTGATTTCCATTGATTTTGCCATAAAAATTCCTTGACATTTCAGTAAAACTACAATAACATAAAAATGTTGAAGAAATTTGTCAAAAATGTTACTTTAAAAATGCAAAAATTCCAAAATTTAAACTCAAATTTTTTCTCAAAATTACATAAAAAAATGAAAAATTGTCAATCATCAAAAAAAATTTATACCGTTTTGCCCCACTGAAAAAAAAAATCACAAACCTAATATCCGCGACAACTCCGGAAATACTACGAATAATTTTTTCCATTCAATTTCGCCTGGAAATTTCCTACCCCATCACCCCCATCATTCAGAACCCCCCCACATCTCATCGTGACGATCTCTCCCGCAATAACGACTCTCAACTTAATTATTTATAACCCAAGAAATAGAGAATACTCGAGGGAAGACAATATCCTAGGGTCACTGGGTCAACTGGTTGTCACCCTCATGCGCCCTGCGACCCTCCCGAATCCCCGGAAGTGCAACCCCACGTCAAAACACATGGCATTCTCCCCCTCCCCACGGCCAGCCCATCGCTGTGTCCCGGTTATAACGCACGAATTACCGCAACAATCCCTCCACAATCACTCAATACAATAACGACCGATGAACAACACGATTGACCCTATCTACATGATGAATTTCTCACAGACTCACCTGCCAATCGTGCTCATATCATCCTGCCCGCCGCCGATGCGGCCGTGATGATAAAACAATCGCCTTTGCTGCACTATTTTACCGATAAAACGAGTAAACACACCTCACAATTGCCAAAATCAATCACAAATATCGTCACCAAGTTTATCCCAATACTCCCTGATTTTTCGCAATCATCGGTCTTTAATTATAAAATCAAAAAAACTCGAGACAATTTCGCGTTTCGTGCTGTCACCACGATATTTCACTAGCTGTCGTGTAGTGGGGGGAATTCCCGGGGGGGGCCCGCCTCCAGGCCGGACTGCACTAATACCTGTTGTGGTTGTGCACTTATTTTTCTACTTCACACCTTGTTTTTTTTTTTTTACTTCAATTCCGACGGAAACCACCTGTCACCCCTTAATTTCAATCGATCCAATTCAGTGGGTACCGGGTGTTTTGATAACTGCAGTGTGATAATTCAGTCCATCAAAGAATACACGATTACAACCGGAACGACGGACAATTGTAATAATCACGGCGTGCTGAGCGTCGACAGACTGAAGGCGGCCGAGGGTCCGCGGGACGGTGAGTGTTTCGGCGCGGGCGCTGTATCACAACGGCGCGCACATCGTCGGGCGCCGCACCACCCCCGTTTCTTCATTTCAATATATTTACCATCCTTATTCAACCAACAACTGACTCCCTCCGCAAACAGCCACGCGACTTCCTCCGTTTTATCCCCCTCCCCGCCCTCCAGCCACTGTCCCTCTCCCTCCCGACCCTCCACCCACTATTTCCCAACCCAACAATGTCCCTACTCTTGTGAGAAATGCCTCTCACTCGGGCTCGGGTTGCTTCGGGTAGTTTCGTCTTGGTCTGATGTACAAAAGCCGACTAGCGACAACCGACTGACAACGGGACCGAGGAAACTGACGGCTCCAACGTTTACCACGCCCTTCACTCTGAGTTACCGCCTACTTTCGGGCCCTGCACCCACGCCGTGTGCGCGGCGGGGGGCGCAGGGGGGGGGCGCTGGGAATTCTATCCCCACCACCGGAGACTTGTTCCTTTATTGCTGGGTGAACCTATAGTCGTGGGGCTACGAGGATTCTCGATTTTTCGACGGCGCTGCGGATTCAAGGAAGCGAGCGGCATTCTTTTTTCGAGGGAATTTTCTTCCGGTTTTTTTTTTTT